ATGAAGGGGGTATTTTACCCCCTTGTTGTATGCTACAAATAAGTCTTTAAGATGTTCAATCATTTCTGCTTGTAAAGTTTTATAATACACCGCAGTTAAACCATCCGTTCCTGGAGCTTTAGCTGTTTTCAGTTGTTTAATAGCAACAATAATCTCCTCAGCTGTTATTGGTAAACTCGTTCTTTCCTTTTGATCACTAGAAATTTTCATAACTCTCCTTTCTTCTAGATATTTATTTATAAGTTCATTCTGTATATCATCTTTGGCATATAATTTGGTATAATAATCTAAGAAGGCTTCTTTAATTAGTCTTCGTGAAAAACTTCCTTCCCTCCATACTCAATACTGCCAATAGTCCGAGTACTCTGTTGTTTTCCTCAATATGTAAGCTAACCACCTGCCCAGCTTATTAGCGTTGCAAAATGTATTATGTTTCGCAAATTGTAAATTAGTTGCTGCTTGTTCCGCTGTGAGCATTTGAAATTGGCCTTTCAAAAGTTTTATAATTCCTTTGTAATTTTTCATCTGTTGGATTTTTTATAAGCATCTGTTTCTTTTTTCTTTATCTCTCCTTCCAATTCTAATCTTTTTCTTTGTCTGTTTGATTTGTGTTTAGAATTCATATGGATCAGTACCCCCCGCATATACGCCTTACTCGCATCCCAAACAATTTCAATAGGGGTACCCTTATTCAAGTTCATTTCAAAAAATTCCTTCATTTGTTTTTTAAGTTCATTTACATTCTTTTCATATCTGAACAAGTTTTCATTTACTCTCCACAATCTTCTCTCAATCTTTTCCATTTCTATTTCTATCCAAACTGGGCTATGGTCAGTTAAGTCCTCGGAAATATCTTTGTTTTCTTTGTTTTTAAAAGTAAGTCAGCCGTGAGTAGAATAAAATCAATCCTAGAGAAGGATCTATGTCTATCTGAAAAAAAAGTAAAATCCAGTTCTTTTCGGTTATGCACTCTCCATATATCTTTCAATTCCAAATCTTCTTTCATATCAAAAAAGATCTGTGGTAATTTAACACATGACTTTGCCAAACTCTTTTTATCTTTTTTTGGGATCTATTACTCCATTCCAATCTCCCATAAGTAAAATAGATCTGAAATCCCATTGTAGTATTTTAGAGTATAATATTTTATAAAAAATTTCTTGTTGCTAATTAGGAGCATAAATTCCAACCACCAAAATTGGACCATTATCTGTAGAAAGTTCAATTGCTATATATTTTCCACTGTCATCTGCTTCTAAAATTTTTGCTGGCAATCTTTTATTTATATAAATCACTACACCATTCTTTTTCTCCGAATTTGAGGCTATAAACTGTGCTCCTAATCTAGGATTTATCAAATATTTTTGATCTTGTGTTCTAATATGAGTTTCTTGTAAGCAAATAACATCATTATTAAATTGTCTCAGATAATAAAATATCTTCCTTCTTTTCTGTGGTGAATTCAGTCCATTTACATTCCAAGATAAAAACTTAATTGTCATTTGTAGTCTCCTGAAGCGTTAAGAGCATTTGCTGAAGTTTCTGTTCCAGACTGGTAGTTTTCGGCTTAGCTCCTCCCATAGCTTCGGATTTTTGTGCTTTTCCATTGACTCCCTTCTTATCTTGTGATAGCTTAGATCTCTGTTGTTGTTGTTTCTCTAGAATTTGTTTATAAGCTGCTCGAGTTATACGCTGGTCTTTAGCTTTATACGACATCAACTCGAGATCCACTGCCACTTCTCTTGTGGTCCACCTGGAGCCTCTAAAGGAAGATCTAACAAGGGTTCATCCAAAAAAAAACCCTGTTGCTCCTTGGGTTTCCATTGCCTCCACCTCCATCTGTTTCCGCTGCTCTTCAAGCTCTTGTTCAAATTGCTTCTCTTTCTCACCCTCCTCTATACCTAACACTGAAGATGTACGTGGAGATGTTGCGCCAGGTTTAAAAACATTGAGGTAAAAATCTTCCGCTTTTTCAACAGTATTCAATCGATATCTCTCACCTTGATACCTCAATATTATGCCAACTGGAGCATCCCATCTGAATGGAATTTGTTGTTTCTTTTAATTCAGTCAACAAAAATCCAAGTCCTTTCTATCTCTTAACATTTTAGGCGGCAACTCTTTGTAAATCCCAATCTCCCTTCCATCCACTTGAATAGTAGAAACAAAAGACTTTTGCAAGATATCATTTCTTATTCTTCTATCTGTAAAGTAGATCACCACATCTCTAGGCAGTTGCCTTTGCCTTGCCCACCCAAGAGTTCACTCTATAGACCTTGTCTATCTTGCACAAAATCTCCTCAGGGCTAACCTTTAGCATCACAGCCAGGCATCAGCACAAACCTTTTTCAATCTTCTCTGTTATTTTCTTTTATTCCTCTCAGTCTTACAGCAAACTCCATGAATCTAAATTGCATCATTGTCACTTCATTTTCAATCCTTTGTGCTTTATTGTCAACATTAAAAATTTTATAATCAGCTTCCTTCATTTTAGATTCTACTTCTGAACTAAGTTCTTCCACTTTTTTATCAATCTGGACAACTACTTCTGACAAGCCAGTCACAACTGTCAGTATGTCACGCTTCATCTTGTCATACTTTTCTTGAACCACCTCCTTGATTTCCTGTTGAGATTTTTCAAATTTCTGGTCCAAAACTTCATTTTGATTCATCAGAGCCGCAGCAATAAATTCCTTCAAATCTTTAAAACCAGTCTCCTGTGCTTGGCTCTGAGTCTGCAAACTTAAGGGCTGCTCTTGTGACTTGTGAGTGGGGGAACCCCCCCCCCTGCAGCTTTAATGGCTGGCTTTGTCTGCTTTGAAGCCATTCTGCCACGCAGACTGATTCTTTCTAAGAAGGAAGTCCTCCCTCCCTTTTCACCACAGAATCCTTTCAAAAATTTCCCCAGCTTTAATCAAGTCTCTAAGGGAGAAGGAACAGATCAAAATCACTTTAAAAAGAACTTTTCCCTTTTCCTTCTAGCCAGCGCTGTTACTTTTAGATACTTTGTATCGTATTAAACACTCAAGCAAATCCACTTTCGCTTTCAGCTTTTCCTACCGCTGAAGCCAGACGCCATTTTAGCAAACTTTCACTTTCCAATCTTAAATTCAATCACAGGGTTAGTACAAATACTTGCAGTTTTGAGTTTCAAGTCCAGATTCCACCCTGTTTATTTTTGATAATTCTCTTGGCTTTCGCTGGTTATGTTGGTCGGTCGTCTGGCTCTGCTGAATGCAGAGTTGTCCCCGGAGTCCGGAGCCTCAGCGAGCTGGATAGGGAGCCTCACCCTGCTTCCTCCCCAGAAGCAAAAAAAAAACAATCTGGGGACTTTGCAGGGGGCTCTACCTGGTCTCGCCGGCTCTCCTCGCGTTTCCTTAGGAACTCGGAGTTTTTCAAGCCGCCTCTCAGCTGTAGAGGCGGCTCTTTACGGGCGGCGGGGCTGGCGGTCTTGAGGAGACCGTCTAGCGACGACAGCAGCGCCAACCGGAAGCCGTACCTTATGATTCTTGACCAACGTATCTTTTCTTTTATGTACACTGAGAGCGTATGCACCAAAGACAAATTCTTTGTGCGTCCAATCACACTTGGCCAATAAAAAATTCCTATTCTATTCTGTTCTGTTCTGTTCTGTTCTGTTCCCGTTCCGTTCCGTTTTCGTTTCGTTTCGTTTTGTTCCGTTCCGTTCCGTTCCGTTCTATTCCTTCCCTTCTTTTGAGAGAGGGCTGTTGAATTTTGACACAGATGGCCTCTTTGACCCCCTCTTTGACCCCCAGCGGTCTTCTCTGTCACTGAGGTGACCCTGAGGACAAAGATAAAGCTCCAAGTGGCCTCAATGACCCTCTAGAAGGATGCAAAAACCAGCTGTCTGCAAGGAGTATCAATCCTTCCATTCCCCTCCATCCAATCAGAGCTGAAGAAGCTTCTTGGGTGAGAAGCGAAACGTCTTTCAAGAAAAAAACAAAGTTCAGTTGCCTCCTGAAAAAAAGCACCTTTGGGGTGATTAACTCAAGGCCAACAATCAACACCCCAATCAAGCAGCTGCCAAAGAGACAACAGCAAACAGCCCCAAACTAAAGAACCTTTAAGACAGTCCCAGCAACACTGTATTGAAACATCTTTGAGAAAACAAGCAAGCTCAAAGGGCACCAAGGACCCCTCCTGTCCACCCTGAGCTACCAATATTCTCCTTTAGTTCAAAACATCCTTAAAGATCCATCTCATCCTGGATCTCACCCTTTTTTTTTTTTTTTTTTTTTGAACTTTTACCATCTGGCAGACGGTACAGGACAATAGAAAGAAGGACAAATAGGCTGAAAAACAGCTTCTACCCCAGGGCAGTAAAACTATATTGAATTCTACGGACAGTGCAATACTAATGCAATATCAGGGTTTTCAGTTCAGTTGTATAGAATGCGGAGGATGTGTGTTTTTGTATTTTTTTATAGTTTTCTTATGTATAATGTACACTGAAGATGGCAATTTAATTTCATTCCATGAGGTGCAGTGACAATAAAGTAAACTAACTTTATTAGTACATTGAAGTACGGCAGAAGCCTAAAGAAGAGTTGTAATTTTCTTAGCAAGATGGATCAATCTCACTGTCAGCATTTCAAGCTGCATTTACTCTAGTGCTGACATAAGAGGG